ACCAAGGAATTTGCCCTCATTATGTCTGGCAATTAGAGTGTTGTCGATCTTAATGTTAAGTTGCGTAGCACCTACTCTGCTACCAAACATAATGTACAGTGGACCCCAGGTTTACGATCAGCTCCCAATGCGACCAATTATGTAAGTGTATTTATGTAAGTGCGTTTGTATGTGTATGTTTGGGGGTCTGAAATGGACTAATCTAATTCACAATATTCCTTATGGGAACAAATTCGGTCAGTACTGGCACCTGAACATACTTCTGGAATGAAATAATATCGTAAACCGGGGGTCCACTGTAGTAGGTTTTGCCAGTGTTAAGCGTAAGTTTATTGGCTGTCATCCAAGTCGATATTTTGAGCAGCTCCTCGTTAACAATGGTGTTGAGGGTGGCAAGATTAGGGTGGGAGATGACATAAGTCATGCCGTCAGCAAAGAGAATGGGTTTCAGGTGTTGGGATATGTTTGGAAGATCATTGATGTAAATGAGGAGGAGCAGGGGTCCAAGGACACTTCCCTGTGGAACTCTAGTATCAAGTGGCCGTATTGATGAGGCTGTGTCTTTAATGGTGACATACTGATACCTATTAGAAAGGTAGGATTTAAAATATGCAAGAGCATGGCCTCTTATACCATAGTGGTCAAGTTTGTGGAGTAGGATGCCGTGGTCTACTGTGTCAAATGCTTTTCTTAGGTCAAAAATTCCTAGCAGATATTCCTTATTTTCCAGTGCTGCGTAAAGCAGGTCTAGCATTTTTATAATTGCATCATTAGTGCTTTTATTTTTCCTGAATCCAAATTGGCAGGGGTTGAGTATGTTTTGTGACGCTATAAATGAATATACAGTGGACCCCCGCATAACGATTACCTCCGGATGCGACCAATTATGTAAGTGTATTTATGTAAGTGCGTTTCTACGTGTATGTTTGGGGGTCTGAAATGGACTAATCTACTTCACAATATTTCTTATGGGAACAAATTCGGTCAGTACTGGCACCTGAACATACTTCTGGAGTGAAAAAATATTGTTAACCGGGGGTCCACTGTAGTCTCCTGTGCACGAGTTTCTCGAAGATTTTGGTTAGCAATGGTAAGTTTGATATTGGCCTATAGTTGTTTACGTCTGTAGGGTCACCACCTTTATGTATTGGTGTAACCCTTGCTGTCTTGAGTAGTGTCGGGAAAGTGCTAGTTTCTAGTGACATGTTAAAAAGTAATGTAATAGCATGTGAAAGGACATGGGCCGCTCGCATGTACAATAATGGTGGGACGTGAGACAAATTCCCTGAGTTATTTTTAAGTGACTTCATGATCGTGGTGACTTCCGTGGGCTCAGTTGGTACAAGATAGAAGGAATTTGGGAAATTCCCATCTAGGTAGTCTCCGGCACGGGCATTGGTACGTGGGATTTTACTGGCGAGATTAGATCCTATATTTGAGAAGAAGTTGTTTATCTTGTTAGCTGTATCAGTGGGATGCAGTGGTGTTTCATGAGGTTTAGTTAGAACAGTATTCTTGGTTTTTTTCAGTTTGTGGGTCCCCAGAATCTGGGAAAGTGTTTTCCAAGTTTTTTTTATATCTCCTCTTGTGTCAGTGAATCTGCTGGAGTAGTACAGTTGTTTGGCTTTCTTTATTAATTTGGTGAGAACTGTTGAATATTGTTTAAGAATATCTTTGTGTATTAAGCCCTGTCTATATTGCTTTTCATATTGCTGTTTCTTATCAATGGATTTCAGAATGGTGCTGGTTAGTCATGGGCAACCAAGCCATTTATTCGTGATCTGTTTCATTTTTATTGGACAATGTTTGTTGTATAGTCTAAGTATTTTGTTAAGAAAAATGTCTGTCCAGTCATCAATACCATTGGCATTGGAGAATTCTGTAGGCCAGTCAACAGTCTCTAGGTCTGCTGTAAAATTCCTTATTGAGGCCTCGTCATGGAGTCTAAATGAAACTTTGTTGTATTCGAGTGGTGGCTTACTAATGTTTGTTAAGAGGAAGGTTGGGTAGTGGTCAGTAGTGCTGTCTGTGATTATCCCTGATTTAAGGGGGGCTAGTATATTAGTCCATATGTGGTCTATTATGGTTGCAATTGTCTCAGTCAGCCTGGTTGGTTTAGTTATTGTTGGTATGAGAAGTGTGTTGTTCATATTGTTGATGAAATCAGTTACAGTCTGATCATCTGGTAGGCCAAGGTTGATATTGAAGTCTCCAGCTAAGAGAAGGTGGTGCATGTTCATTTGTCTGTTTGTTATTAGTGACTTTAGATTCTCACTGAAGTTTGGGATGTTTGTGTGGGGTATCCGGTATATGGCACCGATTGTTATAGGCGTCTTGAGGTTTTTTACAGTAAAATTAGAAAAAATGTATTCCCCATATTCATCACTAAAGCAATTAGTGCTAATACAAGATAGTTGGTTAGAGTAATAGATTGCAGTACCACCCCCAACTTGGTATGGTCTGCAGTTGTGGATTGCTGTGTATCCTGGTAGTGGGCAGATATCAATTGTGTCCTGCTTAAGCCAGGTCTCATTAAGAATAATGCAGGAGAAGGGTGTCTTTAGTGACTCAAGGAGTGCCAGGAGGTCATCATAGTGTTTGCTTAAGGACCTGATGTTGTAGTTAAGAACTGATAGACTTTGAGCAGTGTTCAGGATAGTGCTGGCTTGTGATGCTGTGTAATAAAGGCAGTTACTTTCCAATAAGTTTTGATTGTGTGTTAGATTATGGAGGTTTAGATCAGGGTCAACGTGATCATTCATCTTTTAGGTTTAAATAGTGGTTGTTTATATCCTGTATTATGTGGTGAGTTCTAATACTGATTTCTGTAGTGGTGGGAGGTTTGGATAAGTATACCGCTAAAGCACTTTGGTCATATAGAGTATAGTCACTAATAAACATAATGATATTGATATTGTCTAGTGTTGTGCTAAAATGAGCTAAAGTACAACTAGGTATAAACTAATACTATAAAAAAAAAATTACAAGTGGCACCAGACTCACTCTTGTAATTGCACTAAGGTCTAATATAATGAATTTAGTGTTGTCTATGTATTTTCTGCCAATAGTTGCTGATATCTCATCCTAACTTCATCTTCCCTTAGTTTATGCACTTTCACCTCCCTCTTACTTGCTGTGGCATTTTCCTTTTGTCCCATCAACCTCTTACTCTGTTTGTAGGTACGACTAAATAATGATCCGATATATCAGTTGCTCCCTCCATAAACACGTTCATCCTGAAGCCTACCCATCAACCTTTTATCCACCAGTGCATAATCTAACAAACTACTTTCATTATGTGCTGTATCATACCTTGTATAGTATCCTCTTCTTCATAAAATATGTATTACTTATTACCAAACCTCTTTCTACACATAGCTCAGTTAAAGGCTTCCGATTTTCATATACCCCTGGCACCCCAAATTTTCTTACTACTCCGTCCACAACATTTTTACACACTTTATCATTGAGATCCCCAACCACAAGTACCCTCTCACTAGGTTCAAAACTTTCCATGCACTCACTCAACATTCCCCAAAATCTCTCCTCTACACTTCTCTCTTCTCCAGGTGGATAAACACTTGCTATAACCCACTTTTCACATCCAACCCTTATTTTACTCAATATAATCCTTGAATTTATATATTTATATTTCTTCTTTTCCTGCCATAACTTATCCTTAAACATTATTGCTACTCCTTCTTTAGCTCTAACTCTATTTAAAACCCCTGACCTAATCCTATTTATTTATCCCCGCTGAAACTCTCCCACCCCCTTCAGCTTTATTTCACTTAAAGCCAGGATATCCAGCTTCTTCTCATTCATAACATTCACAATCATCTTTTTCTTATTATTCGCTCAACATCCACGCACATTCAAACATCCCACTTAGACGGTTTTCAAATTTTTTTCTTTTTAGTAGGCTATACAGGAAAAGTGGTTACTAGCCCATTGTTCTGCCATTTTAGTTGACTTTTGAAACATGCATGGCTTATGGAGGAAAGTTTCTTATTCCACTTCCCCATGGATATAAAAGGAAAAGCAATAAGAACAAGAACTATTAAGACAAAATAAAAGAAAACTCAGATGAGTGTGTATACATAAACGTGCACATATATGTGTAGTGTGAATTAAGTGTTAGTAGAAGTAGCAAGACATACTTGAAATCTTGCATGTTTATGAGACAAAAAAAGAAAAAGACGTCAGCAATCCTACCATTATGTAAAACAAATATAGGCTTCCTTTTTACACTCACTCGGCAGGACAGTAGTACCTCCCTGGGTGGTTGCTGTCTACCAACCTACTACCTATAATATAATAAATAATATAATAAAATGTAACCAGGAAAGGTTGATCATGGTTTACAGCATCCCAATAATTAAATGAGACCAATTATAAACTCAAAAAAACAGACAGGGGGGGGGGTTGTAGGGGAGCCTTACGTGTCCTCAAAATTAAAATCATTCTATTGTGGAATATTGGCAAAAATTAAGTATTTCCACTACTCAGAGCTCAGTTTCAAGCTATGTCCTGTCCTGAAACCAATCCAAGTCATCTCTACCTCAGTAGTATGTCTCCCATTCTGTCAAATGATACCAAGAAACAGCCAATAAAACCATAAAAACCTTCAGAGAAAACACCTCAGAGTTGCTATTTTAAACCATACACAGAGTCACAGTTTTGTTTTCCCATCATGCACTGGGAGGGGCAGGATTTTTTTTATGCTGTGAACACTCACCTCACAGACCCACTCAGAGCTTATCTGAGTGAGCTGAGATCTTGACGTAGAACTTCATCAGGGACCCTGGCCTCAATGACATAGTTCTACATTATAGACTTGTGAAAGGGTTAAACTATACCTGATCTCTGCTATGAATTTTTTTTTTTTATTCACTGTATGATTACAAAATATGTATTATCAATATATATAGAAATTATAGATGTTTAATGAGAGGTGTAATTTTTATAGGTTTACCATTAATTCCTTACTTTAATCTCAGATTTCCCCTTCTCTTGTGGAATGGAAATGTGCTACGAACTCTGCTTGATATTCTGCAAGTTTTAGGCTACTCTTTGCAACTGGACCCCAATGATGCCAACCCAACCATTCCTATCCCCGACACTCCGTTCAGCATTACTCTTATGGACACGCTGGAAGCTAGAGAGGTGAGTTGGTTTTATAACTGTTACCTGCTGTAATATTGTGGACATAATTGAGCAGGTAGGCAGGCAGGCCAACAGACATGCCACCAACAGGTCAGTAGGCAGAGAGTGTAGGGCATAGCAGGGCAGGGAAGACCAGGTGTAGCTAGATCAGACCTGGCCAGGCCAGGCCTCTCACCCCTCTCCCTGTTCTCTCTCTCTCCCCCTTCTCTCTCCCTCTCCCCCTGTCCCTGTTCTCTCTCTCTCTCCCTTCTCTCTCCCTCTCCCCCCTCTCCCTGTTCTCTCTCTCTCCCCTTCTCTCTCCCTCTCCCCCCCATCTCCCGTTTCTCTCTCTCTCCCCCTTCTCTCTCCCTCCCCATTCCCCTTCTCCCTCCCCTTCCTCCCTTTCTCCCTTCTCCCCTTATCTTTCCTCTCATTCCCTTCCCTTCTCATTCCCTCTGTCACCTCTTGTCTTATTCCCTCCCTCTCCCTTCTCTCATTCTCTCCCTCTCCCCTTCTCTCATTCTCTCCCTCTCCCCTTCTCTCATTCTCTCCCTCTCCCCTTCTCTCATTCTCTCCCTCTCCCCTTCTCTCATAATCTCCCTCTCCCCTTCTTATTCTCTCTCTCTCTCATTCTCTCTCTCTCTCATTCTCTCTCTCTCATTCTCTCTCTCTCATTCTCTCTCTCTCATTCTCTCTCTCTCATTCTCTCTCTCTCTCATTCTCTCTCTCTCATTCTCTCTCTCTCTCATTCTCTCTCTCTCATTCTCTCTCTCTCTCATTCTCTCTCTCTCTCTATTCTCTCTCTCTCTCTCATTCTCTCTCTCTCTCATTCTCTCTCTCTCTCTCTCTCTCTCTCATTCTCTCTCTCTCTCTCTCTCTCTCATTCTCTCTCTCTCTCTCTCTCTCTCTCTCTCTCTCTCTCTCTCTCATTCTCTCTCATTCTCTCTCATTCTCTCTCTCTCTCTCTTTCTCTCTTTTTTTTTTTTTTACACAGGGTTTGACAAGGTTAAGGATCCCTAGCTTTATTGACAAGCTATTTACAGGTTAAGGATTCCTAACTCTATTGGCAAGCTATGAGCTGTTACCTACATCAGCTCATTTGAAAGCATTTTTATTGTTATGAGACATACAAGTAGGGAACAGGATGAAGCTGGAGTCATCTGTGGGCCAAAAATTTAATTTGATCAACTAACTTTATCTCATTGATATCATTATGCTGTACGAACATGTTCCAGACTCTCTAGCCCCAGGACTTTTATTTACATTGCGCAGCAAAAACAGCATAACATGGGGACCTGTTTGGGAGAATTATCAGATTTAGAATGATAATTCACATTTGAAACCTGGAGAGTCAGTATTTAACCCATAAACGGTCCAAACGTGTATATACGTTCTCTCGCCCAGTGCCCCGAATATTTTGGATAATAAATCGTTTTTTTTTTTTTTTTATGGAAATAAAGAGCACATTTTTCTAAGAGTTATAGGATAAAAAAAAAATTAGGATCAGTACTTACTAACATATGAGGCTGAGAAGTTGGCACTGGATGCTCACCTGACGGGAAACACGATTCCTGCGCTTGAAAGTGTTGCTGATATCCCTTTTTTTTCTCGTTTTCAATTTATATAATTTTATGTTCTGATAATTACAATTGATAGTAGTTCTTGTCATTTCATAACCAATCTATATTCTGACACTAATATTAGGTACTGAAATTGTACTCAAATTGTCACAAACACACTGACAGGTGGACTTTTTATACCGGGAAATGAAAAGTACACTAAGTCCCAGCAATGCTTTGATACATGGGAGTATGTAAATAAAGAATTAAAAATTTTTTTTTTTTTTTTTTTTATTATAACCCCGATTCCCACCAAGGCAGGGTGGCCCGAAAAAAAAAAATTTTTCACCATTTTTCACTCCATCACTGTCTTTGCCAAAAGGGGTGCTTTACACTCTTTTTTTAAACTGCAACTTTAACACCCCCCTTCAGAGTGGGCACGTCTTCCATTCCAGGACTAAAGGCCCGGCCTCCGGGGTTTCCCTGATTCCCTTCATAAATTTTACTTTTGTCACACTCCAAAGCCGTCAATTTAAAAAACCCATTTGCTCCATTCACTCCTATCAAACCCCTCACGCTGCCTGCTGGAATCCAAGCCCCTCGCACACAAAACCCCTTTACCCCCTCCCCCCAAACCCCTTTCCCCTAGGCCGCCCCCCACCCCCCCTTCCTTCCACTACAGACGATACACTCTTGAAGTCATTCTGTTTCGCTCCATTCTCTCTACATTCCGAAACCACCTAAACAACCCTTCCTCAGCCCTTTGGGACAAAAAGTTTTGGTAATCCCGCCCCTCCTCCAACTTCCAAACTACAAATTCTCTGCATTATATTCACCACACATTGCCCTCAGACATGACATCTCCACTGCCTCCCCCTTCTCCTCGCGCAACTTTTCATCACCCACGCTTCACCCCCATATAAAGCGTTGGTAAAACTATATCTCATAATTCCCCTCTTTGCCCCAAAAGGACAAAGTTCTTTGTTTCCAAAACTCCAAAGTGCACCACTCACTCTTTTTCCCTCACAATTTCATGATTCACCTCATTTTTCATGCCCATCCGCTGACACGTCCACTCCAAATATCTGAACTTCACCTCCTCCCCCTCTCCCCTCCCTCCAACTGAATTCAATTTTTATCACCTAATCTTTTGTTATCCCATAACCTTACTCTTTCCTGTATTCACCTTTAATTTTCTTTTTTTGCACACCCTCCAAATTCATCCCCAATCTCTGCAACTTTCCCCAGAATCTCCAAGAGCCAGGTCATCAGAAAAGAGCGCTGGACAACTCCCACTTGTGTTGATTCTTTATCTTTTAACTCCACGCCCTTGCCAAAACCCTCATTTATTTCTCTTCAACCCCTCTAAAAATATATTAAAAAACCAGGGTGACATCACAATCCTTGTCTAAGGCCTACTTTCTGGAAAAAAATTTCCCTCTTTCCTACATACTCAAAACTTAGCTCACTATCCCGTAAAAACCTTCACTTTTTTCATAACCTACCTTACACCAACACTTGCAACATCTGCCCATTGCCCCCCTATCCCCCCTGTAAAATACCCCCTTTTCCAAACCCATAAAGCCAAAAAGACCTTTTTAGCCTTTATCTAAATACTGTTCACTAATTTTTCACTGTAAACACCTGGTCCACACCCCCCCCTCCCTTTCCTAAGCCTCCTTGTTCACTCTATCCTATTCCCGCTTACTCTTAATTCTTTCAATTAAAACTCTCCATCCCTTTACCGGGAAACTAAACAGACTTACCCCCCATAATTTTTGCACTCTCTTTATCCCCTTGCCTTATAAAAAGGGAAAACTATGCTGCTCTCTGCCAACCCCTAGGTACCAACCCTCTTCCATACATTTATTAAATAATTGCCCCAACCCACCCCCAAAACTATATCCCCCCTTTTTAACTTTTTATCTTTATCCCATCAACCCCGGGTCCCCTTCCCCCTTTCATTTTACCTACTGTCCGAATTTCCCCCACACCACAATGGCTCTTCCTCATCCTACAAGATGTTTTTCCCCCTTGCCCTATACACGAAATAAAGCTTCCCTTCTTCATCAACATTTAACAATTCCTCAAAATTTTCCTTCCTTCTTCCCAATACCTCAAACCCCCAAATTAAAATAACCTCCTCTCCTTTTTTTAATGAAAAATCCTTTTGTTCTCTAGGCTTTCTTAACTTTTTAAACTCCCTCCAAAACTTTTTCTTATTTTCAAAAAATTTTTTTTGGAAACACCACCCACTTCTTTTTGCTCTCTTTTACTTTGCTTCACCCTCTTTTAACTTTCTCTTTTTCTCCATTACTCTCCCTCCTTGCATACTTCTATTTGTAAAAACTTCTCATATGCTAATTTTTCCCCCTTTACTACCTTTTTTACATCATCATTCCACCAATCGCTCCTCTTCCCTCCGACCCCACTTTCCTGAAACCACAAATTTTGCTAAACACTCTAACACACTTTTTTTAAACCTCCCCCAACCTCTTCGCCCCATTGCCTTGCTCTATTACCCCTCACCCTCCAATAGCTGTTTATATCTTACCCTAACTGCCCCCCTTTTTTAGTTTATAAACCTTCACCTCTTCTTCCCTGAGTTTTTTTCTCCTTGTATCCCATCTACCTTTTTCTCAGTATAGCTACAACTAGAAAGTGATCTGATTATTGGGGCCCCTTTAAAAACATGTACATCCTGAAGTCTACCAACGTCTTTTATCTCCAATACATAATCCAACAAACACGTCATTTCCCCTACATCATATCGTGTAACTTTTTTATCCTCTTTTTCTTAAAATATGATTCCTAACTAAACCCCTTTCTATCCCAAAGTTCAATCAAAGCCTCCCATTATAAATTTACACCCTGCACCCCAAACTTTACCTACCACACCCTCTCTAAAATTTCTCCTACTTAGCTTTCAAGTCCCCTCCACAATTACTTTTCTCATTTTGTTCAAAGGCTCCTACATTCACTTAACATCCCCCCAAAATCTCTCCTCCTCCCTGCACCCTTTCTCTCTCTCCCAGGTAAAATACACCTTATATACCCATTTCCCTACCCAAATCCAAACCTTCCCTTAAAATCCACATATTTCTTGAATTTACACATTCATATTCCTTTTCCCCTTTCCATAAACTGATCATTTAACTTACTGCTCCCCTTCCTTTGCTCTAACTCTCTCAGATACCCAAAATTTAAATCCATTTTTTTCCCCCCACTGAACTCTCCTACCCCTTTCAGCTTGTTCGCTTAGGGCCAGGACATCCAACTTTTTTTTCATTCATACATCAGCAATTCATCTGTTTCTTGCCCCATCGAAACTACATCCACGCAATTTAAGCAACCCTTTTTATAAAGTTTTCTCTTCTCTTTTTTGTAATTGTATACAGGAGAAGGGTTACAAAGCCCATGCTCCCGGCATTTTAGTCCCTCATACGACACGCATGGCTTACG